ACATAAAGTTTTCTCTCTGAGGCAGCATTTGGCCCTGCCAACCCTGATCCACCACCAGACGCAGTTGACTGAACAAGGTTTTTTTCAGCTTCAGAAGGTTTTACCATGACTGGTTGGCCAAAAAGCAAGCGACCGGATAAAGCAATAGCCATTGGCACAGACATTGCATCATAAAACTCAATGTACCTGCACAGATATCAATAAGTTATTAACACAACTGAAATAACAGCATAGACCAGGTATTTAGACCACATCGTGGCAAAGCTGAGAAGCATAAAGAAATCTACTGGTTGGTGACAGAAGACATCCAGGGAAAGGACATGACAGCCCTAGCAATGGTAGTACTAGGCCATAGAACAACAATATATAACCAATGTCAATAAGAATAAAACCATGTCTGGAATTCAAAACAGGAAAAAAGGTACGGAGGGCTCAAGAAACCTCTCAGATTCAGCAGGGGTAAAAACACATACGGGTGGGTCCCACAGGCACATACCAGTAGCACTCAAGTATATGCATTTGCAAGCATATGGTTTAACATTTCATATTCAAAAAAAAAAAAAAAATGCTCTCAGGACAATTTGTACTGATTGACATTTTACTATGTTTATAGTTGGTATATTATTATTTTTAATATAAAACTACGTTTACAATTGGTATATTATTTGAAGACCATATCTCATAACTAAACTTCAAATGATGCAATTTTGAGATTCAACTCAACTAAAATTCACAGTACTTGACACTCTAGATAACCCTTTTCCTTTTACAAATACAATTCAAATAACCTTTACTCCGCCACTATAATGATTTTAAGGGAAGTCAGAAATGCATATTAACAACAACGGCTCAATCCCCAACTTGAATCGGCATAAATCCCCATTTTCCATTTCGCTATGCTTGGACTTATTTTATTCCAAATCAACAACCTTCCTCTCTTACCGGACTTGGGACTGGCAATGTGTTAGCCATCAGAAATTCATAGAACAAACCAAAAGGAAAATCTTTAAAAAAAAAAAAAAAACAAAAAAAGCAAAAACCTATATGAGAAACACAGTTTTTCTACCATCTGAGAGTAACATAGACCACACAGAAGTCAAAGGAACAAATCAAGAATACAGTCTGGCTGCAGAGCAGCAACTTTATTAACCACCATGGTAGATAAATCAAGAATACAGCCCCAATGCTACATCACATGGTTAACATTCAAAATGAAAGTGGCACTATCGTAATCCTTGAGACTTTAGGAGTACTATGCGAAGCAAGATGCATATTTACTTAAGAAAGAAAAGAGAAAAGAAATAAAACGCAAAATTTGCAGGGTGTAGAATTTGATTAAAGACATACCCAACTCCTTTAGATCGCCTTGAATTCCGGTCCATGATTAACCGCACATCCCTCACCTAGAAATGTAGAAATGAATGTCAAAAGAAATAAGATAAATTGAATTCAGAGGCCCTTTTGGTACTCATACTATAAACACCACAAAACCTGCAATAGGTCATGCATAAAATCATCAGTTATAACCTGATCAGACTACATTGTGCATCCAATCAAGTATAGAATCTTGAGACATGAGAAAGTAATTAAGCTACCTGATACAGAAGGCAGAGAAGCAGTTACTGCAACAGCAAGCAGAAGCATACAGCATGCACTAATAGTATACGGAAGTAGGGTCAAGCGAACAACACAAATCAATTTTTTGCTCCTAAACATGAAGTATCATATCAATTCTAGAGGACCACAAGAAAATGGAATTTTAAGACAAATGTAAACCAGCACACATTGATAATAAAACCACAAGTTGTCCAGCAGCAGAGTTTATGTACCGTGAAGCAAAAGGCGGGCCAAATTAACTAACCTTTCCTGCTTGTGAGAAGAACTCATACACATCCCTTTCAGTTGCCTTCAAGGGCATCTATAAAAAGTTCAGACCAAATAAATCAGCGAATGAACCTATTGATCAGCTAAATCACCTAATGCGAAATGCTCAGGTATGGAGATGAACAAGGCAGAAACAAAGACATCGAAACCTACCTGGTAAGCAAAAACAGTTCTCTGGTCCCTTTCTGGATCAGCTTCTGGTTCAATTTTTTCTTTCTTCTCCTTGAATCTCCTGTATAAATGACTCAGACCATAATGAGAATATGTATGGCACAGATCATAGCAAAAAAGTATCTAAATATGACCTCGTTAACCGGCTAGAGAGTTAGTGCAGACCCTCGCTTTCCCTATTTCACAATCCACAGAACATATTGAAGTAAACCAACCTTTATATCGCATTAATTTCAAGGATAGTAAAGAAAAGTATGAGGCTCTGTTTATAAATTTTAAGTTACATGTAGAAGGGAGAGGATTTTCATTTACATTATTGCACCTGCTACATTTGAACACAATCAACTACTATAAACCAAGTTTAACCGAACTTGCATAAATACATGAACATGCTACAAATTATATTAGGACATGATGAATCATCATCCTCTAAAATCTCCCTCATTGTGCAAAATGTTTCATCTTTATTGATTAGATAGAGTAGCTCCTGCAGCAGGAAAGATCATCAAGGGAAGCCCTTTCAAGAAAAATGCAGATAAAAGTTAGAAAGCTTCTAAAAGTTTTTGGAAAGGCTAGTTGAAAATGCTAACTTCATTTGTCTACTTGTTTATCTGAATATAACATTGCCTCTCCCTATAAATGCTCCAGGACCCAAAACGTGTTTTATCTTTATATCTAAAGAGATGCAACTAGAATTCCAACCTCCAGTGACACACATCATTCTCATTTAAAAAGAAAACAAGTACAAAAGGAGCATATTCTAGAAGATAATTTGAACTTTTGAAGCATCTCCAAGTATAAACTTCAAGTTAAGAATATGAATGCAGTAGGTGTTGTGACATTATTCGCGGTCCATCACCAAAATTTTGAGACTTTTCCCTGCTTTCACAAAAACAATCACATAAAGAGTTAATGCATTTTCGTCTCGATACAGAAGAAAAGGTTGAAAACTGATACAGCCTCACACCATATGCATTGCCAACCTAGAAATCCAATACATCATTTGTCAACATCTCACAGATGTAAGAAAAGTAACCTTAAATCCATCAATGCAAAAACATTGGAAGGATTCAAAAGTGAGTGATAATCTCAAAGGCCAAAAAGGAACTTAACAGACCTTATCATACTCAATACATGTGGGAATAAGCCACTTCTTCAATCAAGCCTTGAAGGGTTTCCGCATTGTTAGCCCATTAAGATGTGCAAAAAATCCATCTACGATTTCAACCCAAGTCAGAATATTACATCCTATATGGATAAACTCACACTCTTTTACGCATTTAGACTATTTCAAAAAGTCTCTTCCGTTTGAATCCACTAGAACTCAAAAACACTCAGCAGAGCGTGTTCAAACACATACTTAAACTGAGCCATAACCTGATTTTTCCATTTTTTAGGTCACAACAGCAGTCAACAGACAAGCCTAAATTTTTTTATCAAGGACGTGTCTAGTGACGTTGAAAGGAACCAAAAGACATCAATAACTAGCACAAAAGATAAATAGTGGCACCTAGCAATTCTACAAAGTAAAATTGAGAAATTAAGAAGATAAGATGCAAATACTGTTTCACTACATTAACGGCTATATAGTGGTAGCTGATAGCCACATTGATGTACATCGGAAAATATTCTCCAAAACTACAACTTGAACTGATAATTACTATCAACAAGCACTAATCCTTTTGTAATAAACTGAAAAGGTTGATATGCAGTTAACATAAGATAAATGTTAGTGTCACCTGCTGTCTCGAGATTCAAAGTCACGTTCACGCTCGACGTCTCTTGACAGCTCCTTCTCTCGCTCTCGTTCAATCCTGGAGCGACTCCGGCTCCTCCTTGACCCCTCCCTCTCTCTATTCTCCTTCTCCTTCTCCCGTTCCTTATCTCTCTCCCTGTCCCGATCTCTACTCTTCCTCTCCCTCTCTCGTTCCTTCTCCTTCTCCCTCTCTTTCTCCTTCTCCTTCTCCCTCTTCTCTCTGTCACGTTCTCGGTCTCGGTCCTTTGAGCTTCTCTCTCTGTCTCTCTCCGATTCTCGCTCCCTGCTCCGATGCCTCGACGACCTTTCCCTTTCCCTATCTCTATCTTTATCTCTCTCCTTATCCTTTTCGCCGTCGCCGCGAGACCTTTTGCTGCTACGGCGATCTCTATTGTCGTCCTGGGCGGCGTATTCCTCGCTCCCGTCTCTCTCCCTCCGGCGATAGGCTTTCTCGCTTTTCTCCTTCTCGGCGCTGCTGTTGTTGTTGTCTTTGCTCTTTGTAGAAGGACCACCGTTGGGCTCTTCTACAGTCTTCTCCAGATAATCGTACTCATCGAAGTCCATTTGAGGTAACGTTCTCTGCCGGACGGCCGAATGTTCGATGTTCCGCCGGTGAAGAAGTGCTGGTTAGGTTTTGACAGAAACCTTAGCGAACTTTGTGAGATTAGGGTTTTTTGATGCCTATCTGGAAATAAGCGTAGTACTATTAAAACTTGTGTACTTTGTTAAGGAAGATATTTTCGGATCCGGAACCAAAATGTGGTTCTTTTGGACTCACACACACAAATAGGTGATAAAAAAAATGACTTTTTTATATATAGCGCCATAATACCTGGCGCCATATACTAACAGTAACGGCACCATTAAGGTATAGCGCCAGGTATTGTGGTGTTATACTGTAAAAGCTGACATGGTCAGGTATAGCGCCACAATACATGGCGCTATATATACATCATTAATGTATAGCGCCAGGTATGGTGGAGCTATACATAGATTTTCCTGGTCCCACCAATAATTTGTGACTTCAATAATTCAAAAGCGTATAGTGTCAACTTTTTGGGCGCTATACCTATATAAAAAATCTCGGCTAGCCATTTCCTATATAAAGAGGTTAGGATTGTATAGAAATTCATTCAAAATTTTGTTACCTCTTGTTGAAACGTTTATTGTTCTTAAATTCTCCAGCATTTTTTCATTATGTCTGAAGAGCGTAGAATAAGAGTTTCATTATATTGGAGGGGGTGAGGTTGTGATGGAGAATAACTCCATGGGCTACAGTTTACCTGCTCAGTATCATGTTAAATTGCCACTTACAATAGAGTACGATAAATTAATATCGTTGTTATGCAAAAAACTGAGTGTGAGGAAACGTTCAGTGATACTTAAAGTAACCGGAAGATATCCGTATTCCGTCACTCTGCAAGGGGGTGCTTTTTACTCTGAGTTTAACATCGACGATGATGAAACTTTGAGTGATTTTCTGAGGACTCCGGACGAATGTCGGGAATTTCTTGTAATCACAATGTTGGAGATGTACGTGAAGGTCGAAGACGTTCCAAAAAATGAGGTTGTGCGTAGCAGAGATAACCCCCAGTCATCGGGTGGTTATTCTGGAGCAGTTTTTGCCGGACAGGTTTCGGATGAAAGAGTTTTCCTTGATTTAAACTTATCACCGCCGGCGAATGAGCAGCGAGAAAATAATTTATACCCTGCTTTCCATAATTCACAAGACGAGTGGTAAACTTCAATTTTCATTTGTGTTAATTATGTATATTTTTGGCGTATTGAATTTGTATTGACGCTCATATATTTAATAAGGGATACCGGCCGGATATGAATTTTACAAGTGGCCCATCCGGTAGTCATCACTTAATTGAAAACGCCCATCATGAAATTTCATCACATTACGACTTGTAAGTGAAGTGATATAGCCATATGGAAATCATTTGTTAATTCAGTAGCTTATATTTTTGTTGGTTGTGCAATGAAAACGAGCAAGTTGAACCACTCGTACTCACTCAATTGTATGACGTATTACATCGGGATCTGGCAGATGCACAAAGTGAGGAACAAAACAGTGATTACGATAACAATGCCGATGAATCCGGAGACGAGACACCTTTTTTCGTGAGGAAGGTGATGAGCAGGATGAGGAGGAAGGACCTGATTTGAAGAGAGACCCCCTAAACGAAGAGTGTATGAGTCCGAAGTGTCGTTTCATTCAAGGGAGATTCCTTACATTGATAACTTGCCAACCGTGCCAGATGTGGAAGATCTAACAAGGGATTTTGATGAAATCCGGACAGCAATGTGGGATGAGCCTAGACCAACGGTGCTTGCAAAGGGGATGTTTTTTGCTGATAAAACGCGCTTAAGCAGGGCTTGTAAAATGCACAACGTAAAAGAGTGTCGTGAGATGCAGATACGGGAGTCAAGTCCGATGGTATACAAGATTGTTTGCCGCAGGTGGTTTTGGCCATGTAATTGGATGTTGCGTACGACCAAGAAGAAGACAGGTATGTGGAAAGTGGGTAAATACATTC